ACTGGGTTCTGGTGCACCCTACTCTCACCACAAACTGCATTGCACTTCCTCTCTTATACCTTCCCTCCAAGGAAGGTTCCTGCCTGGTAACAGGCGCCCAGCTGGCATTGAGACAAGGTTAGGGCCTCGACAGAGCCAATCACAGCTGTGGTGATAATGAGGGCTACGTAGCCATGTACATAGGGACCTCTGTTCCCATTAGACACTGTCTAGGACACAGGATATGGGAACTACAGCCTGCCGTGGCTGAGATGTTGTTGAGGAAGCCAGGAAGCTACCAGCTGAGGAGCATGGACTGTCAGAAAAGATGGGGATGGTCAGGCTTGGCCTGGCTTCTTGTCTTGGAGACTTCTGCCGTAAGAATGACCCAGGCAGGTGAGTCCATAGAAGAAGGGGGTTAGGGAGAGAGGGTGGAGACTGAGGAGCTTCGGATCTGATGAGGGAAGGATTAGTCATTGCTCTAGCATAGGTTCCCAAAGTGGGTGATACTGCCCCCTAGGAGGCACTGGAACACTCCAAGGGGGCAGTAGTAGGCTTGGGTGCAATTGAGGGTGTTGAATAAAAATAAGGAGACGGTGGAAGCATAAGGAAAGAAGAGAAGAAAGTTTTGAAAAACCATTCATACGTGTTTCCTGTTGTATAATAAAATCACAGTGATTGCATTATTTTCCAAATAAACACACAAAATGCAACTTATAACCCTTTAATGCTTTTTAATGCCATGTTGCATCATCGAATTTCCATTAATGGTTACATGATGCAATATTGCATCATCAAAATTTCAATACAGGGAAAACCCCACAAATTTACAATAAATTTTTAAATTTAAAATGTGTCATTTAAAAATTTTTCATATTTTTTTTATATTTTTAAGGCAATTGGGGTTAAGTGACTTGCACAGGATCACACAGTTAGTAAGTGTCAAGTGTTTGGTCTGAGGTTGGATTTGAACATCATTTTTAAATGATGCAAAATTTTTTAAAAAGTTAAAGAAAGTAGATTTCCAGGGGGACACTGAGTATTTTTTAAAGAGGGGTGATAGGCTGAATAAGTTTGGGAACCTCTGCTGTAAAGGATTCTGGGTGATGGGAGGAAAATTCAGTCTTGTCTTCTGAGAGCTCCCAATTCAATATGACAGATATTGTTCCTGCCCTCAGGTCAGATGTGGGAAGAGCCAGGCCCAACTTTTAAGAAGCTCTCAGTCTAATGAAGAACACAAGAAAGAGACATAGGATTCAGACACAGAAGCTATAACTAACTGCATCTGTTCAGAGGGCAATTAACTTAAGACCCAGGGATGATTCTGAAGTGAGCTAAGTAGAGCTGATCAAAGAAACCTCCCAGGAAAAAGTGGCCTTTGATCCAAAACAGCTCTAGAACTTAGAACTAGAGATCAGGGGGAAAATGGCAGAGTTTAGATCTGATGAGGGATTGATGAGGGGAGGCAGGGGACTTCCGAATTTTAGTTGAAAGTGCTTTCATTTCAAAACCCTATAGAGATGTCTCTAACCAGTTACAGAGGGGAGGACAGACTAGGAGCTGTTGCCTCCCTGGTCATTAATCTTAGAGTGACAAAAGAAAAGGGAAAGGGAGATGTTTAAAAAAATAGAGAAGAAAACCAGCCTCTGCTGCTAGACTATCTTTAGGATATAATTTTAAGGGTGAAACTTTCATTAGATAGCCACTTAAAATCTCAGCTCAGCCCACAGTATGAATTTTTGTATTTTTTATTTGTATTTGTAATTTTTTTTGCATTTGTACGTTTTTTTTCACCATTGCCCAATCATTACTTTTTGATCTTATGGTGTCTAAAGGTGAGCCTCAGCTAAACCAAAGAGGAGCCAAGAGGCTGTAGCTGTTAGGATCCAAGAAAGAGGGAAATGAGGGCATCAAAGGTAAAGATGGTTCACTATCTAATGAAGGCTGGCCCCTGCTGACCAGAAATAGAAGCTATTCTTTATAGGAAAGGAGGAATTCCCTATGGGAGAAGTTCCCATAATGAGATGAGAAAATTGAGGCAAACAGGGTTAAGTGACTTGCCCAGGGTCACACAGCTAGTATCTTCACAATATCACAATTCACTTCTCTCCCAGTTGATCCTTACCAAATTGCTTTCTGTTATCCTTCCTTTTTCTAGTTCATGGCTTTTTCCCTATGAGTATATCTTCTGGTATGTAACATCTCTCCACCTCTTTTTATGCAACCTGTTCCATTTGGATTAGGTTTACTTTCCCATTACCATGTTCTAATCATTGACCCATCCCATCATGACTCAGTGACACCTGTGAGGCCATATTTATCCCTTGTGTTATGATATCTAATATACTTTCTTATCCATATTTCATGAACCTATGTCCAGACCCAAGGGGCACAGCAGAGATATGTAGATGGAATACCTTCCACTGGTTTCTATTTCTGGAGGTAAAAGTCCAAGCAGTGAAAAATATTCACAAAAAGCAGAATATAATCTCCTTGAAGGCAGGGATTATTTTGTTCTTGTCTTTGTAACTCCTCTACCTAGTTCAGACTGGCAGATAGTTGGTTAACATGTTTGATGAATTTAATTCATCTGAAGCCGCCAGGCCCATTATCATTGGCCATTTGAGGCCACAAGCTTTCTTACCAGCCCTCTTCACTAGTGTTTTCCTCTGTGACTTATCTCCTCATTGCTATCCTCTTCCTATGTCACAACATCTACCATGACATTTTTGTTGTGGTTCAGTCATTTCATTCGTGTCTGACTCTCCATGACCCCGTCTGGGGTTTTCTTGGCAGATATTCTGGAGTGGTCTGCCATTTCCTTCCCCAGCTCATTAGACAGAGGAGAAAACTGACCTGACAGTGGTTGTGATCTCAAGACAACTCCCTGGCTTGTGTCTGTTTCTCAGCAGGAAGCTACAGGACTCAGAGAGGGAGAGGGAATGCAGCAGTCTGCCTTTAAACACCTATTGGCTGTGTGACCCTGGTCAAGTCACTTGTCCTAAGTCTTGGTTTCTTCATCTGTAAAATAGGAATGAAAACAGGACCTACTTCACTTACCTTGGAAGCATACTTTCCAGGGATGTCCACACAGATGAGGAGGTTGACACACGCATTGCCAGAGCTAGCTCAGTATTTTGGAGGCCCCAAAGTGTGGGAGAGAAGAGGCATTAGGCTGATTACCAAACTGACGATCTACAGAGCCATTGTGCTGAGCTCACTGTTGTATGCCTGTGAAACCTGGACAGTCTACCAGTGCCATGCCAGGAAACAGAATCGCTTTCATTTGAATTGTCTTAGGAAGATTCTGAAGATCACCTGGCAGGGTAAAGTGTCAGACTCTGAGGTCTTTCCTTGAGCTGAACTATCAAGCAGAGAGCCCAACTTTCATGGGCTGGCCACGTTGTTCTAATGCCAAACGTACGTTTGCCTAAAAGACTGTTTTATGGAGAATTCACATAAGGCAAGTGCTCACATGGTGGCCAGAAGAAGCAATACAAGGACACCCTCAAGCTCTCCCTATAGAACTTTCTAGTTGATTGTGAGACGTGGGAGACACTGGCACAGGACTGCCCAGGATGGTGTGCCCACATCGGAGATGGTGCTGTACTCCACGAGCAAAGGAGAATTGCAGTAGCTCAAAAGAAACAGGAGGTGCCCAAATTTAGAGACATCTCCACTCCAAATGTCATACAGACTTATTTGTGCCTGACCTGTGGTAGAGCCTTCTGAGCTGGTATTGGTCTGATCAGCCACAGTCAGACACACTGTACCTTGACCTCGGTGTCATTTCGGTCCTCTTCAAGAATGAAGGACAACAACTGAGCGGGCCATATCACACAATTTTAGTAATACCTGTGAGGCCTTGTGGCCTCTGTGTGAAGATGTCCAGCTCACCTTGTCAATCACTAACATTCCTTGCATTTGTGTCTCCCCACTAGAGGTTGTGAGTACTGTTATTTTGCCGTCTCCCTTGCATTCCTTATCACTGCTATTCTTCCTCCCTGGCTGTTTTCTGTAGCATGCTCTCTAGTGGACTGTTTTGTTCCTCCCCCACTCCCCTCTGCCTCTGTTTTCCCCTTGATCATATCTAAGCTTGGAAGCCCCATCAAAGCCTAGAAACCCAGACTTGTCACAGGTCATTCAGGAACTGTCCTCACACCTCAAGGGAGTTTAGCAATGACGTGACAGAACCACAGGTGTGTTGATGGTTCCCAGCTGGCACACTCTGCCAGCTTTCATTTCTGGAGGTGAAAAGTTCCAGAAGAATCCAAGAACAGGTGCAGGCAGACTTACCTCTGCCACTCTGTTGCTGCTTTACCTCCATACCCTGAGTCTTCCCTGATTCTTTACCATGGTCTGCTCCCATTATATTATTCTCTGTTTGAAAATTGTAAGGGGCCAGATTCTCACACCTCAGCAAAGATTGCATTGTCTCTCCTACCTAATCCACTAGTTATCTGTACCCCTTGAATGGGCAGAAACTCTGTTGAACTCTTTTGGCACCAAGACTGTGCCTTTTCCCTTCCCTCTCTCAGAGTTCACCTGTGTTGTCTTTCTCTATAAACTGAAACTCAGAGTGTTTATACAGCTGTTGCTACTGCCTCATTTTTCCTTTATTATCTCTGAGACGGAAGGTGAGCTGAATTGAACTGAGTTGAGAAAATGCTTACCCCATTAAGGAATTGTCTCTAAATAAGCCAAATAGCAACAGAAGCTTACTAAGCCTTGATTTGTGCCCAATTTTGTGACAAACGCCAATTGAAAATGTAGCTAGGGGCTCTGCCCTTTTACTGAATGACCTCTGGAACCACAGCCCAGATGTAGGGATAGTAGGTAATAGTAGAAGGAAAGATGGAAGGAAGGAAGGAGATATCAGGATTATGCCCCTTCCCCCAATACACACACACACACCCCTAACTCCTCTTTCTGCCTTTCTCCCACTCTGCCATTCAGGACAACATAGACATATGTTTTATTTCACTGCGGTGGGCACAGCCAGCTCCCTCTTGAACTTCACTATGGTTTCCTTCATTGATGATATTCAGTTGTGTTCCTATCACAAACTGAGCCATATTCAAGTAAAGATGGCCTGGATCTCCAATGTTCTCAGTGCCAACTTCAGTGAGCAGATGCAAAGGCTGTTGATGAACCACGAGGAGGATTTCCACAGACTGATCTGTTACTTGGAACAGAATGACACCAAAAGTGAAAGTAAGTCAGTCCACTCGTCCCCCGGCCCCATCCTTCCCTCATCCTGCCTTGTCTCTCCACTCACCAAGGTGTGATAGACCAATTCCCAAGAATCTTTGTTCTGTTGGACAGAGCATTCTAGTCTTAGACCACAAACTCCTCATTGACAGAGCTACAAAGGACCCAGTCCTTGGCTTTAGGAATCGGTGAACCACATCGCTTTTTCAAGATGCCAGCTCTTCCTATTGTAATGAGTTCAGGGGTCCTTGGTCTCCAGCCTCAGGCCTTTTACATTTCCTCACTTCCTAAGTTTCCTTGACCTTTGAATTGGAACTCAGTGCACTGAACTTCCTAGCTTTCCTTGGTCCTTGAGTTCAGAATTCAGTCCCACTGCATCCTGGTTCCCTTAACCTACTTTCATGGAGCTGCCACCACTTCAAGGTTCCTGGTACTAAATCCTACTTACTCCTTCATCCTATCATATTCTGCTTTTCACTCTAAGCCACAGAAGTATGGGTTTTTTTAGGGTTTTCATGTAAGAGAAAATATGTGTGTATATGGATATGGGGAGGAGAGGGAGAAAGAGAGAGAGAATTCTGTGATTTACTACCCCCAATGATATCTAAAATTATGGGTTGGACCCATAGAATGTCAGTGTACTTCCCATGAATAGTTAGTCAGCAGGCATGATTAGATTAGGCGCTTAATAAGATAACATAGCAAGAACACCACCTATTAAACACCCACTCTCTCTCTGGTCTCACAAATCCACATCATTTCCAAGAGAAGAGCTGACACCAGCTTAGTACACAAGAGTAGTAAGGTAAACTGGTGGGGCATATCACTTGCTCCTTCAATACTGCTAGCCCTCCATATGTTTTCCTCTCCTCTCTGCAGCCCAACTCTCTGTTTCCCCAGACTAGTATCTTCTGAATCCCTAGCTGCTCTCTTCTCTGCTGCCAGAGGACATATTCTCTGAAGCAGCTTTGAGCCTCTAGGGACTGCCTGACTCTCTGTAGCCATGTCTGTCGGAAGAGTGTGTCCTTCTCAACTGTACCTCAACCTCTCTCAAATTGGCATTCCATGCTTCTGGATTCCACACTTTCATACTACTTCTGAGTGAGTAGAGATGCTGCTGGATGCCATGGTCAATGGGTGGGGGGGGGGAATGTCCTCCTCTCCCTCAAAAAGTAAAGATCGGGGTTATTCCTTGACGGCTGGCTCATTCATTGATTCTTTCTGCCTAATTCCTGACTACCTCCTAGAGTCAGGAATCAAATAAATCATAAAAAATAAAATGAATAAATAAATAAATATAATTTGGATAGCTAACTATTTTAATATATTTTATTTCATGAATATTTCCCAATTCCAGGTCATTTTTTTTTTAAATTTTGAGTTCTGAATTCTCTACCTCCCTTCCATTTTTCCCCCCTCCTTGAGAAGGCAAGCAATTTTACGTAGATTATACATGCAAAGTGATGCAAAACATTTCCATATTAGCTACGTTGCGAAATAAAAAGGGGGGGGGAGAGGAGCAGCTAGATGGCGCAGTGGATAGAGCACCAGCACTGGAGTCAGAAGGACCTGAGTTCAAATTCAGCCTCGGACACATGGTGACCCTGGACAAGTCACTTAACCCCAATTGCCTTCCGAAAAGAAAGTTGGAAAAATATACTTCAATCTGCACACAGAGTTTATCAATTCTCTCTCTGGAGGTAGATAGCAATTTTCATCCCGGGTCCTTTGGAATTGTCTTTGATCATTGTCTTAATTAGAGTTACTAAGTCTTTCACATTTGATCAGCATACAACATTACTGTTACAATGTGTAGTGTTCTGGCTCCTCTCACTTCGCTTTGCATCAGTGTTTACGTCTTCCCAGGTTTTTATGAAACCATCCTGCTTGTCATTTCTTATAGCACAATAGTATTCCATCACAATCATATTTCACAACTTGTTCAGCCATTCCCCAATTGATGAGCATCCCTCAGTTTCCAATTCTTTGCCATCACAAAAAGAGCTGTAAATACCTAACTACTTAAAGACTCAAAAGCATGACCAATTTTGAGCTTAGCCAGTGAAAAGCTTTTTCACTTCTGATTCAATTAGAGAAAGATGTTCACAATTCATAAAGAGATCAGTGGAATGAATATCTCATTAGCTCTAACACCACATCATCTGTAGTTACATTTTGTAATTTCACCAGCTGAGGAAGAGAGAGATGAATTAAATTCACCCCCTCCCTTTAAATATATATGAATTCAAAAATAATACAGCAAGGAAAGGTAAGTTGAAATGCATATGAAAAGCTGAATTGTACATATATTCTACTCTTCCCTATATTTTAACAGCTCTCCAGTTTTACTTGGCCATGGTTTTAGGGTGAGAGGATCAAGGTCTTTCACTGACATCAAAACAATTCCACGTGACACACAGATCAACTCCAAAGTTCACAAAGGAACCTCTTTACTTTAGACAATCCACAATAGACAGTCACTCTCTCACTTTCCCCATCTTCCCTCCCAAACCTTCCCCACACTTTGAAATCCCAGAGATACCTGTGTTTCTCCCTCTCCCCACAGAAAGCCACACATTGCAACTCTTTGCAGGCTGTGAACTGGAAGATGACATCCAGATGGATAGCCATGTACATTTAGCTTGGGATGGTGAGGACTTGTTCCGGAGAGATGAGCAGCAAGGATACTGGATTTTCCTGAAGCCAATGGGCTACATTTTAAAAACTGCTGTGGAAAGTGCCTTCTGGGACAGTGTGAGAAAACACTACATGCAGGAATATTGTTTTGACATAATGAGAAAAATTCTTAGGCATTCAGGGATCAAGGAGAATGGTGAGTCCCATCTGTTCCCTATCTTCCCCCAGAAAGACCAGACCACCTCTACCTTCCTGCTGTGTGATAGTAGCTGACATCCTGCAATTAGGAGGCAGAAGACCTGGGATGTGGTCCAAACTCTGGCTCCCACTAACTGTGCAAAAATACAGACCACAGATATGTGAATGAGTAAATGAATAATGAAAAAAATTTATTAACTGACAATCCCCATGCTAATGATTCAAATACAAAAGCAAAATCAGTTTCTCTTCTCAAAGAGACAGCTAAAAGGGGGAGATTATAAATTGTGGCTGTAGAAGGGATTTTGAACCAAAAAATGACAGAAATATCTAGTGAGGCCATAGGGGAGTAGATTGACACACTCTTTGCAGGAGTGATGACAGAATTTATTCCATCATGGTTCCAAAACTGAAGAATAGGGAAGTAGTTGGTGAATCTGATGAGAAAATGACCCAATAGCATGGGGTGAAATGAATCATGGCTGGGGCCTGCTTGAAATCATGGGCCAAAAATGGCTGTCACTAATCAAGACAACTGAGTCCCAGGGCAATGACATCTGATGATGTAATTAATTGTTTTTAATGACTTCACTGAAATGATACGTCATAGTCTGATAGATGCCTCATCGTAGTATGTAGGTATGAGTTCTTCAAGGTGGTGGTCTCCAAATTTATTTAGTATGACCAGTTTTTATATTAATTTCACAGATGCCCCTCCTTTGTTACATTAATTTCATATACAACCCCCTCCCCCATATTACAGTACTGTAATATCAGGATACTGATTTTTTAGATATTCAAATCTTCAAGTGATCCCATAGATCTACCTGTTCCTCAGTGATTCAGACTTCCCCTCTCAATGTGAAAGAGTGAGAAGATCCCTAGATTTGGGGTCAAAGACATGGGTTAAAATCCCACCGTCTCTAGAAAGCTTGGTGTAGAGCAATGGATAGAACATTAGATTTAGTGTCAGGAAGCTCCAAGTTCAAATCTTGCCCCATACATTTACTAGCTTTGTGATCTTGGACAAGTCACTTACCTTTTCTATGCTTTGGTTTCCTCATCTGTACAATGAGAGGGATGGACTCAGTGATCTGAGGTATCTTCTAGCTCTAAATCTGTGATTCTATGAATATAACACCTGTGTGACCTTGGGCACATCTTTAATGTCTCTGATTTAGTTTCTTCATCTTTCAAAAATTAAAGGGTTAAGCTAAAGGTTTCCTCTGGCTCTAAGTCTTGGAATATATGAATCCATTCATGCATGCCCATCCTGTTAAATCATCCTTCATAGTTTCCCACAAGGTCATAACTTAGTAACTTCCCAATGTTCTGGGAGCCATCCTTTCTTTCTCCTGCCCTACCATCTAGGGTGCCCCATCTGTCATACCTTGAGTCCTCCATGTTGCGGGCCCATCTTCTTCTGGAATCTGAAGTTCATTTGATGTCATTCCTTATTCCAGCTGTTCTTTGAAAAATGGTGATAAATAGCTTTGAATTCAGTAATTATTTGAGTAATTTTTTAAAACGATGTGGATTAGACAAACAATAATACACGTGTAAAGCACACTGTTTATTCAGTCTATGTAAAGTACCTACAGGAGAAAGAGCACAGGCTCTGAAGGTAGAGGACCTGGTCTGCTAATTGTTGCTATGTGGCCTTGGGCAGCTCACTTTTCTCAAATATAAAAGGATAGGGTTGGATGAGATGAGCTCTGAGGTCTTTTGCCGTTCTAAATCTATGGTCCTATGATACTATTGAATGGAATGGACCCCAGGCAGTAACTTTGCATGACCTATGGATACTTATTAGCTGTATGACCCTAGTCACTTAACCCTATTTGCCTCAGTTTCCTCATCTGTAAAATGAGCTGGAAAAGGAAATAGCAAACCACTCCAGTATTCTTGCCAAGAAAATCCCAAATGGGGTCATGAGAGTTGGATACAACTGTTACAACTGAACAACAAAATGGTCTATGGGTTGAAAACCATTGATCTAAAGTGATGGTGGCCCAGCTAGTTCTACCGTGCAGGAGAAGTTTTTAATTAAGGCCATGGGTTAGACTGGTGCATCTGTTGTGTAAGAACCTTCAAAGCTAAGTTTAGAAAGGCTATTCATTGAGGCAGCTAGGTGGCACAGTGGATAGAGCTCCAGCCTTAGAGTCAGGAAGACCTGAATTCAAATCTGACCTCAGACACATAACACTTACTAGCTGTGTGACCCTGGGCAAGTCACTTAACCCCATTACCTAGCCAAATAAAAAAAAAAGCTATACATTAGACCCCCAGTGATGAGTTAGTTCATTGGGCCACAGAAAATCATTAATATGAGTCTAAATCATTATGGAGCAAGTTCAGTTTTCACTCATGGAATGAGTGCCTGATACAATCACATATCTGCAGAGGTATTGAAACATTGAAGAAGAACCAATTATCATGTCAAATGCTTATTGCCCTTTGTTATTGGTTTAGACATCTCCTAGTCTTATATAAAGACAGAATTTTTGAGTTGATGGGAACTTCAATGGCTACCTCATGCCTGAAAAAATACAATCCCTCTTTCTAGAATAATTTGTATGTCACGGATCCCTTCAGCACCTGGTGAAGCCTGTGAATCCCTTCACAGAAAAATAAATAATTGAAGGAAATGCTATGTTTCTATTAGAGGTTAGTAAAAAATAGATTTTTTTTTCTTATCCAAGTCCATAGACCCCCTAAAATCTATCCATTCACTGCTTGAGGTACGACTCAGGTTAAGAACTGATCTGCACAACCTGTGGCCCTTGGGTAGCTTATGACCCACTGGCATACCAAAGGACTTCAGGCAGCCCACAGAAAAGTGTAGAGAATGTTTTCCTCTACATTTTTCACAGGCCACCTAAAAATCCTTTGGCAGGCCACAGCTGTGCAGGCCTGCTCTAAAATATACCCACAAAGTGGTCCTTCAGTCTTTGCCTTAGGTCTCACATTGAAGAGAAGCTCTGCCCCTCCCCAGGCAGCCCACTCCATCTGTCCATAGTGTATCATCATGAATGACTATTACTTGTGTTTCTACTGAATGTACTGTCTTAGGCACTGAGAGGGAGGCACATTATATGGCCCTTATCCTCAGGGTACTTATGACTGCTAGATACAAGCAAAGGATGAGAGTAGAGAGTATACCAATAAGGAAATAGGGAAATAGGAGAGTATGAGGACAAAGGGAAATGGCAATACTAAAGAACTTTGGATATAATGTCTTCTCTTTTGCATTCCTCCCTCAGTGCCTCCTGAAGTGACTGTGTCTCGCCATGATGCCCTGGATGGCACCATTACCCTCTCCTGCACAGCCACAGGCTTCTACCCCAACTCCATTCTGCTGGGCTGGGAGAAGGGTCATGAACATGCTATATGGGGGAAAAAGAGCTCCAGCGGCACCCTGCCCAATGCTGATGGCACCTTCTACCTCCAAATAACCCTAGAGCTCCTGCCAGAGGATCCAGGGATTGGTTACACTTGTGTGGTAGAGCACAGAGAGTTGAAAACACCAGCTGTATATCCTGGTGAGTGATTTACACAAGCTGGTTGAACCTAATCCTAGGAGGCCAAGCCAATGCCCAATGCCCAATGCCCATGTAAGCCCCTAGCTCATAAAGGGCCCCAAAAAAGGATTCTGTGGCTTCCCGGGGATATAAACTTCTGTCCATCCCCATTAACTTGTTGTCTTTCCACCCCTACAGCTCCTGGGAAGCCCACTAAGGAGAAACCTTGGGCCATGGCATTGGCCATTGTGACAGTTGTCATCCTGGGGGTGAGCTGTGCTTTAGCTTTCATCACAAGGAAGGAAAAGAAGACAGGTAGGTATTTGGGGAGACAGCATGGAAAGGGGAGATCACCAAGGAACAGGCAGTTAGTCATTCCAGGGTTGATGTTCATAATTGTGTACTTTGTAAAAAGAATTACAGTGTACCAGAAACCCAGAGTTGGAAGATACCTTGGTGTTCTTCTAGTCTAAACCATTTAAAAACAGAATTCTTCTCTACAACATCCCTGACAAGTAAACAGCCATCTTCTGCTTGAAGAACTGTAATGATGGGGAGCTCCCTATCTCCTGAAGCACTCTATTCTACTTTGGGGCTGCTCTTGCAGTATTCCTTTTATCGACGCCACATTTGCCTTTTTGCAAACCCTCTCTCTTGCTGCTAGTGCTTTCCTCTGTGATTAGGCAGAATAATTTGAATTGCTCTTTTGGGGAGCAGACGTTCCAACACATCAAGACAAGTGATCAGGTCCCCCCCTTCCTTCTTGCTCATCTGGCATGATTTGCAATCCTCTTCTCATCCTGGGAACTCGCTGGAGAAGCTCCAGCTTAGCATTATCCTCCCAAAATGTGTTGGTGAAAATCAGATCTGAAATAGAATTTCTACACGTTGTTTCCTCCACCTTTTGAAGGAGGAAATTATCATTTAGGCAAGTCAAGAAAAGTGAGACCCAGAGGAATCTAGACAGTTAAAGTCCCCTAACAGTATGATGTCATGCCTCTGTGTTAGGCTGGTAACCTCTTTCCCAGACTCCTTATCAATTACCCCTCTCTGTCCGGGTGGTCTGTAGTATATACTGAGGGCAAAATTGCTGATGTTCCTGACTCTGTTTATCGTTACCCAAAATCCTACCCTCCATACTTCACTTCACTGTTCTGTTTCCCAGTTTTCCTCATCTAAGTATATCTTCTTAATATAGTGTTTCCCCACCCAGACACCCTTCTGATCATTTTTTAAAAGACAGTACTCTTCCACTGTGAGACAATGGGGCATAGTAGATAAAGAACTAGCTTCAGAGTCAGGAAGATATAGGTCAGGTCCTGCCTCTGACACATTCTGGTTATGTGACTCTGGCAAGGCAACTAACCTAGCAGGGCTCTGGGCATCTCTAGGACTCTAAGCTTCTGAGAAGGTGCCTACATGCATTGAGAGGGGGAGTTCCTCTGCTGAGAAGTCACTATGCCAATGAAATCACAGGTCTGGTCCCTATGCCAACCTAAATCCTATTCCCTTTTATAGCTGTATTCCCAATCATGGGTCTCATCCCACCAAGTCTCAGTGATAACTATGGTACCTTTGCTGTCTCTCCAGCTCTTGCCCGGGGACCTGCTTAATCTTGATTGCTGAGAGTTCTCCATAGCTAACCTGGCTCAGACCCACTATGCTGCTGCTCTTTGACCATCTTCATATCAAACCTCTGCACCTTCTTTCCCTATCCCCAACCCCCTTTTTGACCTCTATCTCTGGGAATGGTAATTGAACCAATACCACCATTTCTGAAAAGGACATGTGTCAATCAATTGCCCTATGGTTCAGCTCTGTGGCTTCCCTATGACTTCCCAGTCCAAAATAGCCCTTCTTGGCCACCACTGCCCATATATGTTGTTTTCCCCACTAAAATATAAGCTCCTTTACAATAAAAGGAGAGAGGGAGTGGTATAAACAGGGCTAAAATAGGATGGAAGGAATTACACAGTAAGTAATCATAACTGAAAAAAAAATTATACAGCAAGTTTCTCTGATAAAGGACCCCTTTCTCAAATACATACAGAACTGAGTCAAATTTATAAAAGAGCCATTCCCCAACTGATAAATGGTTAAAGGATATGAACTTTCAGATGAAGTAATCAAAGCTATCTATAGTGATATAAAAATGCTCTACATCATTATTCATTAGATAAATGCAAATTAAAACAACTTTGAGGTACCACCCCATACCTATCAGCTTGGCTAATATGATAGAAAAATGACAAATGTTGGAGGAAATGTAGCAAAATTGAGACACTAATGCATTGTCAGTGGAGTTGCAAATTGATTTAACCATTCTGGAGAGCAACTTAGAATTATGTTCAAAGGGCAATAAAAACCATGCATATTCTTTGACCCTGCAGTACTACTACTAGATCTGTATCCTAAAGAGATAAAAAAGGAAAATTACCTATATGTACAAAAATATTTATGACAGCGCTTTTAGTGGTAGCAAAGAATTGAACATTGAGGGGATGCCTATCAATTGGGGAATGGAATACTATTATACTATAAGAAATGAAAGCAGGATGCTCTTAGAAAAACCTGGAAAGACTTACATAAACTGATGCAAAGTAAAATAAGCAGAACTAAGAAAACATTTTGCATAACAACATCAATATTATACAACAATCATATATTAATGACTTAGCTATTCTTAGCAATATAATGATCCAAGGCAATTCTAAATGACTTACGATGAAAATGCTATCCACCTCCAGAGAAAAAAACAATAGAGTCTGAATTCAGATAAAAGTATACTTTTTAAAAGTTTTCTTTATTTTTCTTGAGGGTTTTTTTGGTCTGTGTTTCACAGCATCACTAATATGGAAATGTTTTATATGACTGCACATGTATAAGCTATATTAAATTGCTTGCCTTCTCAATGGTGGGGTGTGGGGAGGAAAGGAGGGAGAGAATTTGGAACTCAAAAAAAATTTTTAAATGAATGCTAAAAACCTTTTACATACAATTGGGGGAAATAAAATATTAAATATACATGTAAATTTATTATATGCATTTTTAAAAGAATGCAACCTCCTTGAGGGAAAAGACAGTCTTGTTTTTATAATTGCATCTCCAGCACTTAGCAGAGTTATTGGCACATAGTAAGCCTTTAATAAAAGCTCTTTCATTCATTCTATTCATTCATTATGTAAAGGTGAATAACATAAGACAAAGTAGGAAAGGTATGTTAGAAATACTTTGTAGAGCCTTGAATGCCAGGATCAAGAGTTTATGTTTTATTTGACAGGCAATTGAGAGCCATATTTTTTAGGAGAGAAGTGACATGATCAGAGCATTGTGTAAGAAAGACTACTCAGGCAATAAGTTGTGTTAAGAATAGATTAAGCAGGGGCAGCTAAGTGGCGCTGTGGATAGAGCACTGGCCTTGGAGTCAGGAGGACCTGAGTTCAAATCCAGCCTCAGACACGTAAAACTCACTAGCTGTGTGACTCTGGGCAAGTCACTTAACTCCAATTGCCTCACACAAAAAAAAATAGATTAAGTAGGGGATAGACCATAGGAAGGGAGATGGGATAGAAGGCTTTTCCAGTCAATCAGACAAGAAAAGGTGAGAGACTGAAGAAGAGAAGTCAAGGTGGGGACTGAGAGGAGATTCTAGATGAAAAAAGCCATTGTGGAAATACAACCCATAGGACTTGACATTGATTGAATGGATGGGATGATGGGTCACAGAGTTATCAAAGAACTATGCTTCTCGTTGTCCAGTCATTTTTCAGTTGTGTCTGACCCTTCATGACCCCATTTAGGGTTTTCTTGGCAGAGATATTGGAGCGGTTTACCATTTCCTTCTCCAGATCATTTGACAGGTGAGGAAACTGAGGCAAACAAGGTGAAGTGACTTGCCCAGGGTCACACAGCTAGGAAGTGTCTGGGGCCAGATTTGAACTGAGAAAGATGAGTCTTGCTGACTCCAGGTCCAGTACTCTATACACTGAGCCACCTAGTTCCCCTTGCATAGTGAGGAGATGATGATATAAAAATAATAATTACTAGTATTATTATTATTATTATTCATATAGTACTTGCTGTGTTCCAGACCCTGGAACTTTGCAAATATTTTCTCATTTAATCTTTTTGTTTGTTTGTTTTTTGGTTTTTGTTTCAATTTTTTTTTCATTTAATCTTCACAACAACCCTGAGAGGTAGGAGCTATTATTATCTCTATTTTATAATTGAGAAAACTGAGGAAGACAAAGGTTAAGTGACTTGCCTAGGGCCATACGCCAATTATAACTCACATTTGTGTAATGTGCTTTTGAGTATTCATGATTTTGTTTGAACTTCATAATAACCCTTTGGAGTTGGAGCCATTATTATCTTCCTTTTACAGAAGAGGCCACAAAGGCTCAGAGACATTCAATGACTTTTCCAGGGACACACAGCCTGTAATGATCTGAGCCAGAATTCAAACCTAAGTTCAGTATTCTGTTGACTACACTACAGTTATTGTCTTGGATGAGGCGATCCTTCCTAAAGCCAATAGCCCAAGGACCAAACCTCAGTCAGGGCCTACAGAGTCATGCATAGTGACACCACGCACCTTCAAGCGAGGAAGTTAGAGTCTACACACACTTTTGTCATATAGTCTGAAGCCCAGTGTTTCAGCTCAGCTAGCTGGAGGCCCAGATATTATAGGGGTTGTCAGTGGGGACCTGGTGCTACATTGGTGGGTGTCCCTTGACCTCAACCAGTACACCTGATCCACCACATCTCACCCAATGGTTCACAGGTGTCCCAGTGCTGACAAAGGGAATCAGATGAGGGACTTCCCGTGGTCAAGAACTATGTCTCCCCTATTGGATCAGGGGCTTCCAAAGAATAGGGACTCTCTCTCTCTCTCTCTCTCTCTCTCTCTCTCTCTCTCTCTCTCTCTCTCTCTTATTAGACTAGGGAATCCCTGAGGGTGCATTTCCCTGATCAGACCTGGGACTTTCTCATTTCTACTGGTATTTCTGATGTCAGTCCCATGTAATGCACAGGGACAACTCCATTTGAGAACTTCTTGACAATCTTTGAATGCCACCTGACCCTCACCAGAGTCACCTTATCTGTTGACTTCCACTCTCACCCTTGCCAAAGAAAGTCCTGCCCAGAAGCTGATGTCCTGGCTGGCAGTGAGAGATGGGAAGGGCCCAGCTCCAGCCAATCCCTGCCACAGGGGGATAAGAGTCAAGGAGCCAGAGGGTATATTTCTTGTCTTCTTGGCCAAGCCTGTGATGTCATAAGTGTAAGAAACTCCCAGTGAAGAAATTCCCCTTGTAGAGGGCAGCTAGGTGGTGCAGTAGATAGAACACTGGCCTTGGATTCAGGAGGACCTGAGTTCAAATGCAGCCTCAGACACATAACATTTACTAGCTGTGTGACCCTGTGCAAGTCACTTAACCCATTCCCCCCCCCAAAAAAAAAGAAACTCCCCTTACCAATGCAGATGAGAGAAATTCTAGCACTCTTTCTTCCTTGATTTTATCCTGTCTATGGCTTTGCTGGTATATAGTGGTTAGCATATTTTCACCCCCATTAAAATGGCAGCTCCAGGAGGGCAGGGACTGACTTTGGTGCTTCTTTGTATCCCCAGGACTTATGTCTATATATGATAGGTGTTGAATAAATGTTTATTTACTGGCTGATGATCACTAACAGGTTGTCAAGTCAATAAGCATTTATTAAGCACCTGCTGTGTGCCAAGCACTGTTCTAAATACTGGAGATAGAAGGAAGGCAAGGCCAGTCCCTGCTCTAATGGAGAAACGACACGCAGAAAACTATGCATAAGTAAGATTACAATATACAAAATCAATCAGAGATAATGCACAGGGAGAAGGCATTGATTTCATGTGGTTGACATAATTGTACATGTATTACCTATATCAGATGGCTGGGCCGCCTGGGGGAAGGGGAGGGAGCGGGAGAAAAATTTGGAACTCAAAATCTTATAAAAAATGAATGTTGAAAAATATCTATGCATGTAATTGGAAAAAATAAAACTCCATTTTAAAAAAATAAATAAAAAATAAAATACTTATTTCTTTTGCTTTGCCCATCGGTCTTTGGCTGAAAAATGGTGGCCTCCTTTTTTACCTTAAGGTCACTCCCTTTTGCATCAAGGCAGTAATGGGAGGGGTGCTTCTCCTGGCCCTCAGATAATCAGGAGAAGGTTGGTGGTAGTATGTCTTTTAGAGATCCCTGAATCTCAGGCAGAAGATTAGGACATCACAGGTCAAGGATAACCTTGGCTAGGCCCAGTCTGAGATCCTGGCTGGTGAAGGCTAGCCACTGCTGGCCAGAAAGGTCAGCTGACTCTTTACAAGCAGTATGAACTTAAGATATTTCCACTGGCCTCTGGGCTGTGTAGAGAGAGTGTTGCACAATGGTTAGGGTTCTGGACTTGGAGTCAAAAAATCCTGGAAGCGAATCCAGCCTCTGCCACTAATTGTGTGACCATGAGAGACAGCATAAACAGTGAAAAGACAGTGAAAAGATTGTCAGCCCCCTACCCTTAGCTCAACTCAATTCTGGCTTTTCAAGCCTGATGGTTCATCTCCAGGAGTGGGATGGAAGGG